TCAGCAGGAGCAAGCAGTGACTTGCTTTCTTTCTGGAGATGGTCCTAGTGAAAAACTAACCCATGCAAAACCCACCCTCTAAAACCATTTTTGCCTTGAAGTATGACATTGCACAAGTTATTTGATATATATATCCAGATTGAAACGTAATGTTCACTCCTCTTGATGTGGAGTTAAAAGTTTTAATGGTTTTTCTAGTTCATTTTTGTGTTAAGTTTGATTATTTTTAAAGGTACTCTGAAAAGATTTCGATTTTACATGTTTATACAGGAGGATGTTTATAGACTCTAAGGTGCCTTGTTGTGAGAAAAAGATGGATTTCTGGGAAATACTTGCCAGTATAAGCAAAACAACACAAACATACTCCTATAAAGGCTGGCTGAAATTATATATAGGAAACAAATAAAAATACTACTGACTAAAACTGTTTTCTACATAGGAAGTTTTGGATTTCCATTTTAATGTTGAGATCCACATTGTTACCAATTCCATCCACATTCTATGAATTCTAGTCCTTGGATTATTTTTTTTTTATACTTTCATGCTTCTAACAAATCTATACCTCTTTGCTTTTGTCTTATCTTTGTTTTAATTGATAAGTGTTGTGGTATTATACTAATACAGATTATTTTTTTTTCTCAGCAGGTATTTTGGATGCATGGTGCAGGAAAAATGAATTCTACTATGAGTGAGGAGCCTGATGCACTGTCTGTTGTTAACCAGCTCCGAGATCTCGCAGCTGACCCATTGAACAGAAGGGCCATTGTTCAGGATCAGGGATGCCTGCCGGGTCTCATTCTGTTTCTGGACCATCCCAACCCTCCAGTTGTTCATTCAGCTTTACTAGTAAGTATTCTAGAGAGCAATTTGTGTGTCAGTAGGACGTTTTGTGATTTTGTTAATGTCTTTCAACAAGTGAAAAATGTAAAAAATAAAACCTGGTTTTATGTTGATATTTGTTATGCATGTTTGTTTTTTTGAAATATGTCTTTCAAAAATTTTATAGCAGTAATACATGATCCTGTGGAAATTTTATGTATTTTGGAGGAGAATAATTTACATTGCATTTTTTCCCTAATGCAGCTATTTTAAATTTTGTGTGGAGTGAGCTAAGAGCCCTTAAATTGCTTTCTTAAGATGAAGTCATGGAGCTTGGTAAATATACACAGTGATTTGACATTCATATTATAAAAGAAAAAATAATTTTAAAATCATAGGATAATTTAGGTTAGGAATTACCTCCAAAGGTGATGTAGCCCAATCCCATGCTCAAATTAACATCATGGCTTAGTTGAATCTGTTTGATTCTTGAACACCTTGAAGGATGGGGATTCCACAGCCTCTCTGGCACCCTGTGCTGGCATGTGACCACCCTCATGGTATCAAAGACAAACAAACAAACCCTGCCATGGCCCTGAGAAAGCAAATTAAAATCTCTTAATATCCAGTACAACTGGTTACAGCTTTTTTTGTTTCTTCAAAGTCCTGATTTCTCATCCTGGGTTTGAATACCAACTTTAAAGAGTGAATTTATTGCTTAGAAACAGGATGAACAGAAGGAAAGATTTTGTTAAAATCTCATTTTGTTTAGTCTTATGTGGGGGGAGAGAAGATGGACTGTTCCCCACAAGGATTGAATAAGACTTTTAAGTTACTAAAATTTATATGGTGCTCAGTTTTCCATTTTTATGTCATTATTGCATTGTAAACAACATGAAACTAAAAAATGAAGAGCTCTGCCTTTTCTTTATATCATTAAGAACTACCAGTACCATAATTCTGGGTTTTTTTCCACTTCTATAGTGGATGCTACTAGACTTCTGGGAATTACTTCATTGTATCTGATACTCTTCTGGATTCAGGGAATGAGGTCCTGTAATCTAGGAGACCTGTGTGCTGCTTAGTGGTTTCTAAGTTAGCTGTGCCATAGCATTTGGCAGCCTATAATATTCTTCACTGGAAGAACTTTTGAGTTGAGGTTTCAGTTCTTGGGAATATGTTGCATTGGTTTTCTTTCCAGTGCAGTTTCCTTAGGTTGTGGTCTTAAAAGTGGATCTTGTTTGGATGTCTCACTTTTGCTTCTTTGGGGCTGTGTATTCTCTCTGTCTGCGTGAGATTTGTTAATGAATCTGTGATCATGTTACAAAAACTGACTACATAAAAAGAACTGACTCAGCCTGATTGATGAGGGCAAACCCAGTTTACAGTGTAGTTCCACAGCCCCAGATGTTATTCAGGTTGTGTTGTAAGGACATCTTGTTGGGTGGGAATGTGAGACAGCTGTGTTGTTCCATTTAGTAATAATCTTACAGTTAGAGCGGATTAAGAATCAGGATTTAGAGGAGCCCATACTGTCCTCCAGGACCCTGGCTGAAGTCAGAAATTGATCACTTTACTATGAAAACATGTTCTTTGTCTGCTACTCAGACTCCTTGTGTTCATGAGTTCTTGAACCTTTTAAGTTTTGTAGCTTTTAATATCCTTGCTGTTACCTTTTTAGTCTTTTTTTTAATATATTTTTCCATTCTGAAAGCAATTTTGTTTTTCTAGCTGTATCATTGGTCAAAAAGGTGCTCCCATTTGAATGGGAATTGTTAAATGTAGTGACTTTTCCATTAAGCTCATACATAATAAAAGGATGTACAGCACTGTTCTACAATCTCTCATGTTATTGTGTGATTCCCATGGCTAAAATTATGAATTATATGTACGAATCATAAGAGTTCCTTATTTAACTTTTTTAGTCTGTTACAGAATCTTTCAGGGAGGATATTTTCCTCCCCATGTGCAGTTTCAGCTCAGTCCTCTCTTCTGTCCAATCAAGATGTGGTATATTTTTTAAATAAGTTTCTCTAGCTTTGATTCCAGGACTTCTTTATCGTACACTTCAGATACTAAAAGTTTTGCATGTTTTAAAAAAAAATAAAAATAAATATGGAAATAACCTAGGCAATACTCCTTTTTTTTGACTAAAATTTTCAAAAACAGAACTCTGAAGTTAAGAAACTACATTAACATTTCTCTTGCAAAGGTGTCTTTTGTTATTAAGATTGACAACCTTGTTCTTTTTTATATTTAAGTACAGAGATAGTTCTATTGATCATGATGAAATTACTTGTGAGATTAGAGCTACCGTAGGTAAGTGTTTTGCTGAACAGAGGCTGAACCAAAGTCCATAATGGTTATCTTCCTTATGGCTTTGGTAAACTTCAGTGAACAGTATATATTACCATAAATGACCTCAGTTCTCTGAAGGTGCAGACCTCTGTGTCTCCCGTGGGGGCAGAAGGAATACAGCTTCCTAGTGTTGAAAAGTCAGATCATTTAAGTTATTCTGATAACTTTTTCTTTGGTCTTATTTTAGAGGAAGTTACATTTGTGTGTGAAGAATATGTAACAGATGGAAAAGAGACTGCCTACATTTTGACTGAAATAATAGCTGTTAAGATAATAGGTTTTTCCTTGTCCAACAACTTTACATCCTTACCAAGTTGCCTGAACAGAGACTGATCAAAATGAGGAACTTTTTCCCCTGGTCTTACATGCCTTAACATGAAAGCTAGTAGTTTGGAGCTGTCACTCAGATACCCCGTTGTTGGAGGGTAAGAAATAAATGCATATGTAAGATTTATAAACCGCAATTATTGATACTGTTCCACATCAGGAAATAGTAAAAAAGGCATTTAGAGTTTTTATTATGTCAGATAGCAGCCAGACTTTCTCAAATGGCAATCAAATAGTCTTGACTTTTACCTTATACACACTGAAGATGATTTAGAAAAAACCCAGATAATTAGAGGTCTATCTGTGAAGGGATTAAGAAGCATGCTATTTTTTTTAAGCCATTATTGAGCAGCATAGCTACTACACAGCTATATTTAAAGAATTGGTGCACTTTTAAACCTTGCTATCACAAAACCTATGGGTTTTTTCATAACCCATATGAAACAGCCCATGGATTATTTCATAACCCATTCTCTCTGTGTATTGTTAGATTTTGCAAGTGGAGTTCATGTACCTACATCAATAAAACACTAATTAAAGCACGATGTGCAGTACACCTTTGGAGATCCCTCTAAGAAAACTTTGTCAGCACTAACAATAGAGAGATTAAAAGAAGGACTCACATTTTAACTTGAAGAGTATTATGTTAGGAGGATCATGCAAATAATGCAATTACTGACTTGGATCAGCAATGTGAAGTTATGCAAGGAGTCTGCCTTGAAAGTCAAGTAAACAAAACCTTGGACAACAAATAACTAACTGTCCTGTTTAGGTAACAGTAACCTAATCAGTTTGCTGCTTGGGGTGATGAATTTTGCAATCAGTCTTTAGAATTGTAGAATCTTTCAGGTTGAAAAAGATCTTTAAGATCATCAAATCTGATCAAGTACTGACAAGTTCACCACTAAACTATGTCCCTAAGTGCCACATCTACATGTCAAATATGGTAGACCTCTTTCTGTGGACAACAGAAGCTTGATGGTGGTGAGTTTTTTAGTACTGCGGAAGCCCACAGAAATAACTTACATTCTACTAGAGGAATACAGAATAAAAATTACTTTAGATCTCAGATCGCAAATGTTTCTTGGAAGGGACTTCTTGAAGTCACTTGCTTCGACTTCCTGCTTGAATTTGGACTGTCACCAATGCTCCATCAGGTCAGTTGTAGCTTTGTCTCAGTGATCCTGCAGTCCTGCTAGGTCATTTCTTCCGGTGTTGAACTACCTTCTTAGTGGAAAAACTTGTTAGAATACCTGGTTTGAACTTCCCAAGCTGCAGTTTGTTGCTGTTCCCACTTGTTACATTGTGTGCAGCTGTAGAGGAAAGCTTGGCTTTGTCATCTTTGTAAAAGACTTTTTGAGTAGTTGTAGACAGCTGTTAGATTATCCTTTAGACTCTCTTAGCTGATGTAAACAAGCTTAGTCTTTCAACCTTTCCTCATAGATTAGATATTCATGCTTTCTATTTATTAGAATAAAACAAGGTGATAATACTCTTGTCTTCTTACTAGAACTCCCATTGTGAATGTCTTGCAGATGTCCAGTACATTAACATTCATTTTTATTATTGTACATCATGCTGATCAATGTGGTTCTCTTCCTTTCAGGCTCTCCGCTATCTGGCAGAGTGCCGTGCCAACAGAGAAAAGATGAAGAGTGAACTGGGGATGATGCTCAGCTTACAGAATGTCATACAAAAGTAAGTTTATGATGAGTTGTTGGATCCAAAGAGTGTAGTCATAACATTCTGATGCAAAGCGAAACTTTGACTATTAATTTTTATTGTAAATTTTTAATACTGTGTTCTTCCTTGATGAAGTTGTGTGGCTGCAAGCAATTAATGCTTTTCATTGTACAGTATAGCTAAGTAATTATACTACAGTCTACAAGAAATACCTGTTTGAAAGGGGGTTTTTTGCCAAACAATAGATTTTTTGCCCTTGTTATACTTAAGTTTGTCTCTTTCCTTTAAGTTCTCTTATAGTCCTTTTCATCATGGTATAAGAGTTCTTTGCATGAATGTATTTAGTGAAATTGGATGGCATCTGCCACGCTTATTCTTTGAATCCCACTTCTGCGAGGGGAAGTTGTATATGCAATGTATTTGTTTCAATGTGTTTTGAAGGTATGCATCTGCAGTTTGTTGAGCAAACATCTTGCAGGTAGACTAGAAGTTGATGAGGTCTGCAGTGATCTCTGATTTCTTTCTAGAATGTTTCAGCTGGGTTACATCACTTACGATTTGCAACTGTTGGATTTCAAGATTGTTAATTGTTGAGTCTTGAATACTGGAAGATGTGTGGGTCTATGCATAGTGGAGAAGATGCCTATATGCACTTACCAATAGAAATTAATATGATAAACAAAGATGAATAATTATTAGCAGACACCTCTGATCTACTTCAAAAATTAATCTATCAAATTTAATTTGCTATCAGGTTATAAAAAAGTAATTATTTTACACACAGTTTGGTAGCAGTCTGGTTAACTGTACTTTTCAGATGTGAGAGACTGTTCCATGAGAGAGGATCAGTTGTATTGTTGCACTGAGATGTCTCAGATGAACGTTTAAAACAATTATTTAGAAAATCATGAAAAACAAGAAAAATTGTATGTTAAAGATTCAAGTGGAAAGCTTTTGAATCTTTAATATGTTAGTTGAATCTCTAATGTATCACTTGCGGTGTAAGTTACAAGTTTCTTTTAGCAAAAATGCAAGGCTAGACTTTGCTAGTTCCTCCATCACCAGTTTTTGGTGATGTATCTTTCTCTGATGCTGCTTATGTAAAAGTGTGAACCTCAAAAACTGGAGGTGAAATTCTGGTCTGTTCACAAGTCCCATGTGATATGTGATCTAAGAAAGATAAGCACTGTTTACCTTTTAAGTACTTTATCAATTCTGCTGAAATGAACAAGATTATGTATTGTCATGAAGTTCAACATTCTGCTTAAATATCAGTTACTCACCCATTAACCAAGGATTTAAAATTAGTGTCTTATCTAGGATGATGAACTAAATTGCTAGAATTCAGAAGTGAGTAGGTCTCAAGTGTTTGAAGAATGTAGTAATTATAACTTTTGAAAGTTATAGTTGTTTTTATAGAATATGTGGGGAAAAATGGAATTACCTCTTACAGTATTCACCTTTTTTTAAGAACAAGCATAATTGAAGTAAAACGTGCAGGAGTCATGCTACTTTTATAATAACAATGGTTTGTTTAGGTAATAACAAGCTTGTATTTCATAAGAAGTTTGAGTATAGATTGTCTGTATAGAGCACAGACATCCTTAAGTTGTTGAAAGTAGAATGGTAGTTCATTATCAGTCTCTGCAGCTTACAAATATTACTCGGGAAGCAGTCATAATTAAACTTTTGTTTAAAGAATTTTATGGAAATCTCTTTGGCAACATTTTTTTCTGCGTTTCAATTTCAAGGACTGAAAGAGTGTGAAGTTCAGAAGCATGCGGAAAAGGAGAGATAAATCAGTAAAAACTGGAAATCTTGTAGGTGTTCTTTTTTTCTAGAAAGCTCTTTGGCAAGAGTAAGAGCATGCATTTGATTTGTATGCTTGTAACATTTGGAAAGTGTGATATGAAAATTTAAATACATAGCATCTTCAAACACAAGACTTTGTCATGTGCTTGTCAGGATTTTAGGCTTTAATGTTGACAGGAAATGCTGAAGCTAAGCTTTGTATTGCCTGCAGAAATGGAGAAAGATTGTAGAAAAGTGCTGAGAAGATAGATGTAGAATTATTTTTGCCACAAAAAACACAATGGTTTGGGGTTGTTTTTTTTGTTAGAAAGTATGTAGAAGAGAAAACAAGGTCTCTACCTTCTTCAGATTTGCTATACAAAAAGAGGGATTTGAGCTGTTAATGTGATTTCAGTTTATCAGAAGATACTGCAATCCTCTGAACTGGAACTAAACCTTAATAAATGCAATAATAAATGCTTTGGTCTAAATGACTTCATGCTGTGCATTCCAATGTACTTTCCAGAATGTGCATATCTAGCTCATTGCTCTATATAATCTAAAATATTTTTATTATTTCCACCGTGTACTTGGAATTTAGGTTATTTTTTTTGTGATGTGTTGTAAAATTGGAAAGGAATCTTAGGAAGAGATAACTTCTTCTAGCATTCTGCTTTTCCAGTTACTGCGTATTTCTTTCAAGTGAGACAGACCCCAGCATCTTCTGAACTAGAAGTTGTAGTCACTGACTTCTTGCTCTTGGCAGGTTAAGCACGTCCTGTAGTCTGAATCTTCTTTCATCAGGAATTTTGTAACTTTCATTGACTTCCTACTTAATGAATACACAGTGGCATTCCTTGCTCAATTGTGAGTTATGACTAACTGTATTATACCACTGATAAAGCCATGTTATGTCTTCTCAGGCAATGAAATGGAGCTTGTGTGCACAGAGACAGGTTGCAAACTTAGTATTTGTCATATTTCAAACTTAAGTTGATGTTCAGCAGCACTGAATTGACACTCTGCTTAGGAAGTCGAGTCTGTTTAGAATTCCAGTTCTCTTTTGCTTTCAGTTACATAAGTCTTGAAGTTTGAGGGCTTTTCTCATCATGTCAGTCTTTTTATAAACCTTGAAGGTCTCTGTATTAGAGACTTCAAGTTCAGGTGCGGAATTTCTTGTCATGACTTGTCTGTAGTAGCTAGTTTAACAGATCTTTTAAACGGTTGTTGCGATCAACTGGAAAATAGTGGCAGTTGCTACTTAGGATTTCTTGTAATAGTACATGGGAGCCTCAGACACAGTCCAAAGCCCTTTTGTTGCAAGTAATACACAACCGGTGAAAGAGAAGTGTAACATTTGTTTAAACTTGTCACCCAAGTTTAACTAGTTCTTTTAAGTACCTTCAAGTCTTATCTTCTGACTTATCAGTCCCCCAATATTACCTCATCAGTATTTTGGTATTTGCTTGTAATAAGCATTATAGGTCATTTGTAAAAATCATTTTACTGCTCAAAATGAATGTCTGACTCCTTAGCTGATATTAGATTTTACCTGAAGAACAAAGGATTGGTTTTAGATTCATTGTGACAGTGACAAGATGTATGAGCACTAGTTTTTGCTAACAGAAGAGTAACAGATTTTAGATGTTTAAGCTCTAGAGCAGAATATGAAATGTCAACTCTGAGTACAGAATAAAAATATGGAGACAAGGAGATATTTATGTATTTAGGATTTTTTCAGGCTGAACTCTGGAACATGTATGACTTTTGAGATACTTTTAATTAAGGCTTTATACTCTTCCACATTTTCTAGGACTTACCATAAGCTGTTGAAGCATCATAGAATACTTCAAAATGTTCTTCAAATATAAAAAATTCTGTTGTCCTACTCGATACTTGCTGTTTTTTTCCTTAGTAGAGGAAATTTCTTTTTTTGTTCATCCACATCTGCTTATTTTTAAATTAAGCTCAATGCACCTTTCCATGTTATAAGCTAATAATATAAGTAATAACTGTGTTGGAGAGAAATCAGACCTTTAACATTGCTACTTGCAGGTTTCCAAACTTTTTATTTTTCTTCTTTTATGACTGATTCTGCTTTATTACTGTCATAAAATGTTTCACTCCCTTGCCAGGTGACTATCTGTGTGTGTGTAGAAGTGTTTGTGTAAATAGATAAAAAGGTGAGGAGAAATTGGGGCTTGTTGCAGAATAATCTTTCATTGTATTCCAGCAATCATCAACAGTTATTTAATATTGAAAACTAGTTTGGTTGCTGGCTTTATGAATTGTATGAAGGACTTAATGTGTCCGTACGGACCTAATAAAATGTTATTAGCACCTTCTAGAATTAAAATTAATTAGGATTCATAGCCTACAAGGAAAATACTAATTTGTATTCAGAGTGAAAGTGACTTTTGATGGACAGTAAAGGTCAAAGTTCATAATTTTTCATAATCTTTATAAGCAGCATAATGGTACTGTTTAAATATAACAAATATGTGTTTAAAAAAAACAACTTAGGAAGAGTCAATATACTAAATAGCGCTTATTATGGAACAGCAAATTACTGAGAGTAAAATTCCAATTACTTAGCTAGAAGAGCTTTTCAAGATAGTCTTCCTTTGCCAGGGTGTCAGATTTAACAAGCTGAACTAAATCCAGTGCATTAATCAGCTCTTCCAATTTATTACTTGCCTAAGAAGATTAGGGCAATTAATACGTGTTTAATTAGAGTCCCTTGCAGATCTGGTAAAATACATGCAGTCTATAATTGCTGATTCTTACTCAATTTTAATTTTTGGTAGTTTTAATTACCTGTACTTTTTGAGAATTTAATTATTTGTTGAACTAGCAAAGTTTAAATTTATGATGTCTGACCAACAAAACTGCCAGGTATTTCAGGTAGTATTTGTTGAAATTAAAATAAGGATATAGTGTCACTGTAGTTTTATCATTTTTGTTTTGTGACATACTACTTTTTCTCCTTTGTGAGAAAGGAAGATGGGCAAAGGCCATCTATTAATTAGCAAGAAAGCAAACTACATATTTAAAAGGATATCTGACTATGAAGGGGTATTGCAGTATCATAATTGGCTTCAAGATAATACTTTGGGAAATTACAGCTAAAAAATTTGGTAGCCTTCATGTTTACTGTATTTATACATTTACACTATTATTGGAATATTAAATTCTGATCTGCCAAGGGGAATAAAGTGGCTTTT